AAGTCCAGGAGCATAACGGCTTAATCGGATGAACTCAACCTCATAATCCATAACAGAAATATTACCCTGCTCCAGATCCTGAAACTCTTGACGTCGCTCCTGCAAGTATCTCTCTCCGATGTAGCGACTCCAGAAGTGAGTCTTAAAAAGATCCCATGTTAACTGGTTCCTCGGAATACTACCAGAAATTGATTGCCACCATATAAAGATCTTTTTTTTCAACATAGTTAGGCCCCCCTTCAACTTCTGCTCAGGTCTGAGGTCCATCTCATCCATAATCCTCTCTGTGTCCTCCAACCAATACTCAGCGTCTGTCGGAGGTCCATCAGTAATACCCTCGAATGAAATTACACCAGCAGCGACCAAAGAATTTGAAATCTCCACTGTAGTCATGTTACTAGGGGCTCTAGCAGCTCTCTGAAACATGCGGAAGATAGCTCTATTAATGGCGTGTTCATTCATCTCAGAATGCTCATCTTCAATGACGGGAGGGTCTCTCACAGGAGTAAACTGATCATTATGAGAAAGAGTCGGATCTACTTGCTGAACAAGAGGATCACGTGGTGACATCAGATCGTCTATCGTAACAGAAGGTCGAGCGACTCGCCATCTACCACGTCCACGTCCTGTTCTACGACCTCTAGCAGCATTCATCGTTGGATCTATAAGGCTCTACAGAAAGAATTTGAAACATCTGTCAGATTAGCATCAGAGATCTCGAGAAAACTTTAAATCATAACATAAGGTGACATTTTTTTCTTCTTAAAAATCCAAAGTTTAGGACCCATATACAGTCCGAGCGTTTAAAACTGAAAGCTCTGATACCACCAAATGTAACCCCCCAGACCCGGTCTGTAAGTTAGACTCAAATCTAAGTGGTCACATATACCATTCAGAGGTTTTTTTTAAACACTTATAGAACATTAAAAATAGTATAGAACAAAATATTAATAATACAAATATATCCAAAACGATATCAAATACATGTCACCAAACATAACTGAAAAACATATAGAAATATATGTTCGTACAAAATAAGTAGTTGATCTCCCCTGATGCCAAATCTGCTAGCTTACCGTCTGTTGTTATCTGAAAAAGTTAAAAACTATAGAATGAGCTAAAAAGCCCAGTGTGCTCCAAACAGTGCATAAAAACATACGAATAAAATATTTCAATAAAATCGGTTATCAAACATATTTTAAAATATGATCATTATTTCCATATAATCACTCAGGTTTCTATATTTTATATATTTTCCTGAAACATACACCCACCTGCACACCAGTAAGGACTTACCCTAAGCACGAAGCTGAGGAGCCTGCAGTAATAACGTCTCCATCCAGTCGCTTTCATCACTACAATGTGTAGGTTCCTCATAACCATACACCCACCTGCACACCAGTAAAGACTTACCCTAAGCACACAGCAAAGGAGTCTGCAGTAATAACTTCCCCATCTAGTCACTCCATTCACTACAATGTGTAGGTTCCCCAAAACCATACACCCACCTACACACCAGTAAGGACTTACCCTGAGCACACAACAAAGGAGCCTAAAATACTTTCCTTAATAATATCCCAGTAACAGAAATAAACATGTATGTATTTAGGTGAAATAAATATTAATTCATTAAAACATGAAAATGGTTCATGCTCATAAATCATATGCAGAAATTACATAAACCATACATCAGATCAGTAATATCCGGTAAATCAGGTGTCGATAACCAGTATTCATAAAACATGTATCATGTTGTAATAATATTCAACATCATCATAAATTTGAAACCATTTATATGATAGTTTAAAACAGTAAGATAACACCGTCAGTAAACACACCTGTAACAGTCTGAGAAATCAGATAGGGAAGCCTATTACTGGGTCTGTCGATCACGCTCTGTTGCAGCGCTAGATCCTACGAATTAGAAAAATCCATATTTGAATTCTACTATAAATAATCTTAATCTTTATTTAAAAATATACGGAAACCTACGGGTAATTCTTGTAATACGCGGTTCGGACTGATCTGACGAACGAACAACACCGGACCTAACTGATCCTTGCTCAGGTGAAACACGAGTACCTTCATAAAATATTTTATTGAATCAATTCCTTAACCAAAACTCTTAAAAATAATCAAAATATTAAGATACTAAGCCTTTTTGGGTTCACATGCTCGATTTGGGAATTTCTGGTCAGAATTTGGCAAAACGGACTTCGGAATCAAATTCAGGACGTCGAAAAACATAAAGTATGACCTTCCGAAATTTCGAATTCTTGGTCAAAATCAAAGTCAACGGGTTTTACTGACGATTTGGAGACTTTCGGGATCGAATTTGGTGAAACGGACCCCAAAAACAGATTCGGGACATCGAAAATTATTAGAATAGATATTTTTGGAAAAGATTAACGATCGTTTAATAGTCGGTCAAAGTTCTAGTCAAAAGAGGTCAACAAGCTGTCAAACATTTTACATAAATATCACCCCTTTTTAAAATAATAACCATAATAGCACCCTTTTTAAATTAATTACCAAAATAATACCCTTTTTGAATTAATTCCCAAAATATCATATTTTGAATTAATTCCCATAATATCACCTTTTTCGAAAAAAATTACCAAAATAGCACCCATTTCAAATTAATTCCCAGAATAGCACCAAAATCGAATTAATTCCAAAAATATCTCCGGTCAACGGCCAATGGTCAACGATCGGGTCGGGTCGGTTCAGACCGGTTAAACCGGTTTTCCAGTTATGCACTCGTCCTACGACGGCGCGTGTGGCGCGTGGGAACTCCTCCGGGGCTCTAAAAATCTCTGAAAAATTTCTAAAAACTATTTTGAGCGATTTCGAGATACTTACAAAGATCGGTTCAAATTTTTGAACGGCGGAGAGCTCTATTTCATCAAATCGGAAACTTTAACCGCTTCACCTCCCCACGCGCCGCCGTCGACGGAGATAGAGGATGACACCGGCTGACTCGGAACGGTACAAGGAACACGATGGTGCGGGAGGTGTCGTAAACGGAGCAACCATCGGCGATGAATTTATCATTTTCTAGGCGATTGAGCTAAAAAAAACGTCGATGCTTTGACTTGAAATTCACGGCGTTTGGCAGCGTTTCGCTTCAATTAATTTAAGGGGATTGTTCCTGACTCGATAACGAACACGATGGTACTTTCAAAACGGCGATCGGAATTTGGACGGCGTCGGGATCGTCGTCGGAAGTTGAGGTTGGGAGAGGGAATTTGGGAGGAATTGGTTTCTGATTTCCAGAAACAACTCCTATAATATATACCAAACTTACCTACTTTTCTTGGGCAAATTCAGGGCTTGGTCCCTGAATTTTCTTTAACTCTAAAACAAGCTACAAGTTTTAAAATCTTTTAATTTAGTCCCCAAAAATTTATAATTTTTCACAATTAAAACCTCAATTCCCAATTAAATATTATTTTGAAATTTTCGGGTTGTTACACTAACCCGACACAAAGTAGTCCAAGAACCGGAAGCTATACCTGATATCACACCTCCATCCACCGGAAGCCTCAGGTGCATAGAAACATCCTCAAGCGTGATAGTGCACTCTCCGCACGGAAGATTGAATATGTGGGTCTTCGGCCTACACCGCTCCACTAAAACAGAAATAAGGCCTGGTTCTATCTTACAGTAACCCTGATATCTACCTAGGTGACCGAATCCAACCTCTACTAAATACAGCATTACACGAGTAGGTATAACTAACTTAAGGTTCCTAATAAAATGATCTAATATACGGTCTTTCTCCTAAAAAATAAATAATTACACAAATTAATTTTTAAACTAATAATCATGCATTAAATAAATTAATTAATTAAATTAAAACGTTAAGATGTTACCGTATCAGCAAAGTGTCGAGATATATGATTTCCATCTAACCAAAGTAGACCGCCTTCCATTTTATGTCTGCATAAAAAATTAATTAAATAAAATATTTAGCAATTAAAATAATTAAATAAATTACTAAAAAAACTAAATATAATAAAATATACCTTAATAATAGAATATAAGAGTATTTGAGAGAAGTTGAGAGGATTTGGTATGATGAAAGTGATTGAGAATTGGGGTATTTATAGGGAGGGATGGGTGTGAACGGGCAGGGGTAATTTGGTAATTAAGGGTATAGCGCGAGTCAGGGCCCGCGCCTTTCTAACGCGTGTCAGAATCACAGGTAAGACGTGGGCCCTGCGCTGCGCCATACCCTTAATTACCAACCTACCCTCGCCCGTTTACCCATGTATCCATGTCAGCGTAAGACGCGTTTCAGGGGGTGCGCCTTACCCCACGTGGCACCAAATCAACATATAGCGCGTTGTAGGGGGCGCGATTTACTGCTAAGTGTGCTAGATCGAGAAATATAGTCTGACCGGTGTTAGATCTGTAAATATATCGACGACCGATGATTGTTTGAGAAAAACGCCATCAAGTAGCTCATCCTCAATTTTTCAATTATTTTTACAACTTCAATCTGAGTTCACTGAATCTGATAATAAAAAAAAGAAAAGAAATGTTTGGTTGAAAATAAAAATGTCACATCATATATAAATGCCACATCATAGATAAATATTAATAAAATAAATTATGATGATTAAAATATGAATAATTTAAAAGTTGAGTGATTAAATTGAAAATTATTAAAATTTAGTGATTAAAATAAGAGAAAAAAAATAAGAGAGTCAGATTAAATTATTTTTTTAGTTAGAAGGTCAAATTAAAAAAAATAAGATATTAATCTACTTAACGTATCACATCAACATAAAATAAAGAATTTATCAATCAATAACAACAACGAAAACATTAACCAAATAACCACATTAAATTTTTTTTAGATTAAAAGTCCACCTTAAATAAAAAAAAATAAATAAATAAAGAGTCGCAGTGATTTTTTTTTATTGGAGGCGTGCGTCTTGTACCTTTTTAGCCTTTACTTTTCTTACAAATCCTTGTTATCCTTGAGATCTTTTCTTTGTAATCCATTTTCTCTGTCTTCACATCTCTTGTTCCGAACTGACAAAACAGAGAGAGAAGAGAGACAGCAACACTTACCACTCTTTAAAGCATCATTTACTAGCATAAAATCATGTAAATTTCATCTGATGTTTCATAGAATCCATATCTGAGAGAACCAATGTGTAGTTAAACTTAGATTCAAGAGGGATTGTCGAGCTTCTTGTCGGAAATTTGATGATTTTTTTGTGTTTGACAACATTTACATGAAGATTCAAAATCTGGGTCTTGATGAAAATGGAAGCTTTATCAAAACAACCCCAAGGAGTCGCCATTGATGTTGTTAATGGAGGAGGAGGAGAACAAAGAAACCAAACAGGTAACGAGGAACAAGAAGACGGCCGATGTTCCTTGTCTACAACTGAGATCATTAAAGAGAGGGAGACTTGTTCAATGTCGGGAACATGTTCTTCTTCTTCCCTTGAAGTGGATCTTGAGTCTGGGGTGGTCGAACCTAGGCCGTATTTGGCTAATGAAACTGAGACAGATTGCAGGATTTGCCATCTTACATTGGACCCGAACAACCATGAATCCGGTGTCCCTATTGAGTTAGGCTGTTCTTGCAAGGATGATTTGGCTGCTGCTCATAAACACTGTGCTGAAGCTTGGTTCAAGATCAAAGGAAACAGGTAAAGAAAACCCAAATCCCTTATGAAATTCAACATTTTTGTCTGTCTTTTTATAGATTTCATCAAGCATTATCATCTATGTTTTGCTTGAACCATACTGATTTAGGGATTAGAATGTTTCTTGAAACCTTAGTGGATTTGACTTTTGTGTCTTTTTTGGTTTGTTCCGTAAGAAAAATTGGTGAGATATTTTCATTGTTAATGCTATAAAACAAAGAATGATTGTCGCTTGCTTTGTTATATTAAAGTGAAAGATACTAAGTTTAGTGGAATCAAATGTTTAATATTATAATGCAAAAGACGGAACCACTATGATTCTTTCTATGAAGTTTCATCTCTGGGAATCATTCTTTTCTTACTCGAATTCGGGTTCCGGTCATTTTTGAAGAATCAGACCCCATACTAACATTGTAGATGAATTGTGAATCAGCATTAAGAAAGCCATTTGCTTGATCTAGGGTCTAATTCAATCGATTCATATAATCATCCGGCATCAAATTTCCATTTTTTTGTCCGAAACGTAAGTGTTTTAACACGTTGTCATGTCAAGATAGAGGAACCAAAGAAGGTGGGTTTATCTTCAAAGGTGTAATAATCAGATTAAGAAAGGTTTTAGCTTGGATTATATGGCAATGCTTTGCACTTGTGACAATGAAGAATTTGATCACTTGCTAGTTGTCACAATGGGATTTATTTTTTCACGAAATATCTTTCCGGGTGACATAGTAATTGTTTGTATTTTTCTGTTGTTTTAATGCTTAATGATGCTCTCAAAATATCTCACCACTCTTGAGTATGTTGATTGCCTTAGCACCTTTGGCGTATGGCTTTATTTATAAGCTATATCGTCTCGATTTTTCATTTTTCTTAAAGTATTGGTATTTGATACATCCTAATGTGTGACAAGAAATTGAGTATTTTCGGGTAACATAGGGTAAAGGCCTCCTTGCTGAAATTGATTCAATGCTATCCATGTTCCTACATGAGCAATCTGTATCATGTATGCTTCAATCTATATCTCAGGACTTGTGAGATTTGCGGATCCACCGCACGGAATGTTGTTGCTGCTGTAACCGATACCGACATGACCGAGCCGTGGAAACAAGCAAACGATTCCACAGCGGCGGCGGCAACAACGGTTCCCGCTACCATTCATGCTGCAGGCACCCGAACCTTCTGGCAAGGCCATCGGTTTCTAAATTTCCTGCTAGCGTGTATGGTTTTCGCCTTTGTGATCTCTTGGCTCTTCCACTTCAACGTACCGTCTTGAGAAAACCTATATCCCAAGCTCACGCCTCCCGGGACTTGTTTCATATATGACTATCAAGACGGTGCCCCCGGTGAGCTTTTCGACTTATGAATCGTGTTCCATCTTGGCTTCCGCTTAATCCATAAGCATGGTGTTTTTATTAGTATCATAGGTTTTGAAACTCTCTGTAATTTATATTTGCATATTGTAGTACATCTTTACTAGAATCCTTCTTGCTATTGTTTTCCTTTGATTTGTTTTTGATGTGATAAAGCTAGAAGTATTGGGACTGGATTTATAAATATTAAAGTACAAGGATTAATTTTGCAAGTTAAACTAAGTACAGAGACTAATTATACAATTTAATCTTGTGTCTGAATGAATAGTATAGTTACGGATTCTGATATAGAATTTGGATAAATATCTTATGGCCCATCCTGTTCTGATTTGAGTTCAAAATAATACGAATTCGAAATGCTTGTGACCGAAACAACCCTAAAATTACTAAAAAAAATTAAGCCCCTAAAAATTACTAAAAATTCTTTTTAAGCCTCAAAATTTCTATAGAATTAATATTTACAAATTAATATTACATGGAATCAAATTCAAAACAAATCATCGTCATCCGAGGAGGATTCATAATTATCACATTCATCAACATCAATGGCAACAACTTTGGAGCCATTAACCCTAGTAGGTTGATCATTTCTAAGATTGAATGGCAACCTTACATTACTCGGCACGGTCTCGAACCCTTCCTCTTCTTTCTTCAGATCACCGGGAGGCAAAAAGCAATCCATAGACAACCCTTTGATGTTAAAGTCGACTTCTTCGATCATCCAGAACTCTTCCATCCTTGTCCACGAATGCCTCTCGGAGTTCTCCCCAAACCGAAACAATGTGACATGAGTCTTGCCGGCATGTGCGATGTTGATGCCATCTATGGTTCTATAATCTTGGATCGAGGACTCCATTGTTGTCTCCCAGAAGACGCTGTCGGGCCCGGGGGATCTGATACGTAGTAGATGGGAGTCTTTGAGTTGGATTAAGAGGCCGGTTCTTTGGCTGAAGGAACACCAAACCGTGTGACGGATGATCTCTACATTGCTGCTGCTACTTGCTCTTAGCGTTGATGGTTTAGCCTCAAGTTTTAGGATGAAACAGTCTTTGTCGTCGATCGATTTTTCACCGATGCAAATCGAATTTGCGAACAAATTCGACGTGGATCTTGGATCAAGACCCTGTAAGAAACGCCTGAGAGGCCTAGGGGGACCTCTAGAAGCATGAGAAGGGTGCCATGGTGTCTGCCTCCAAGCCACTTTCCCATCACTCCCGGCGCTGATTTTGCAGCCGGAAACCACCAGTTCCAGGCACCACAGCTCCAGCCTTTTCTGCCACAAAACGAAACCACCCACCTCTCCGCCGCCGTGCCTCAAGTTCCTCGCTTTAACAATCTTGTTATTCACACTGCCTTCTCCGGAAGTAAACTCAGAAGCCGCCATTCTCACTTTTCCCATCGCATACATACTGTCAATGGCACCCAATGCCTTCTCCCCGCCCACTGCCGCAATGTATTGCTTCACTATGTATTTCGCCATTGAAATCTCCTGTAATAAAAACAAAAGAAACCCAACATCACAAACAAAGAAAGATGATGATTTGATTATATTAAAGATCAAAACTTGAGGTGAATGTGAATCTCTTACAATGGGGAGATCTTTGATGTTTTTGGTAATGGAATTGCTGTCGTTGTTACTATTTATAGGGAGAGGAATCAATGGAGCGCCGACGACACCGAGCAAGAGCTGAATCTCGGTGTTCCTCCCACCTAAAACAGCCACCATCGACTGTCTTTTGTTGGGATTTTGTTTCGTGTTCATCCATGACTTCATGTTCTGCCATGAACGGCGGTGACTGGTCTTGTTCGAGACAAAAGTTTCTTCGGGGATTGGCACTTCGAGGACCGTGTCCAAACCATAAGGGATGTCGTGATTTGGAGAGTGTTTCCTCATTAGATGAAAAGGTTTTTTGTTTTGGACACTGAAAGAGAGGAGAAGTGGAAGAAGAAAGTGTTGTGTAACTGTAAAGAAGAGAGGATTGGGAATAAAAGAGAGAAGATGAGAGGGGAGAGAGCTGGTGGACAATGAACATCAACAACCGATCAATTGCCCCCTTTGTGACAGGCTCCACCTTTGTCTCGGTCGTGTTGGCACGCTTCTCTCTCTCTCTCCCCTCTGTTTCAACCAAATACATATAACATCTATACTTTGTCAAATCCTGGTTAATCAATAATAATCAATAAGAGAATGAACCTTATCTCCCTTCAAATCCAATCATGTAATACACGTTCATTGAAATTATTTTATTTGATCTTTCAAATATTTAATATTTGGGGTTTTATTTTGATTTCATGGTTGTGGGTTTGTTGTATTACAAGGATTCTTAATATTAAAAAAAAAGAAAGAAAATAGTTAAGCTTGAGGTAAGAAGACATTCTTTGTCCATGGTTGTTGCCTTGTTGGTAGTGAGCCGCCCACATTATTGTTTTTTTTTGGGATTATATTATAATTATTTTTGGATTTTATTCTTATAAAAAATAATTGAAAACAATTAGAATTTATTTACTTTTATTAGTGTACAACCGAAGAAATAATAATTGTGATGTCTTCAGACATTTTATCTCGTCTGATGTAGACGAAGAACTGTCATCTCTAGTTCACATTTAGAGTTAATTGCACTAAACGTCCTCAAACTATGGTCTTCATTCTAAATTGATCCTCAAACTTTTGAATATTCTAATTTCATCCCTAAACTATAATTCTCATTTCAAAGTAATCCCTAAACTTTTGAGCATTCCAATTTCATCTCTAAACTATGACCCTAGTTCTATATTAGTCCATAAACTTTTAATGTTTTAATTTCAATCCTAAACTTTTAAGTGATTTAAGGGATGTTATTGGAATTTTCAAAAGTTTGGGGCTAATTTAAAGGAGGATCATTATTTGAGGATGAATTTAGAATGTTCAAAATTTTATGGATAGATTTAAACTGAGAGTGATAGTTTAGGGATGAAATTAGAATGTTCAAAAGTTTAAGGACCAATTTAAAATGAGGGTCATAGTTTGAGGGCGTATAATGTAATTAACTATCATATTTAAGAAAACTATTTGATTTTTTTGAATTAATCACTGGTATACGATCTATTGACCGATTAATTCAGATCGGGTTTCGCAAAGGCCATTATGGGGCGACCCTCCCAATCCAGTTTGCTCCATACGCAAACGCCAAGATTCGAACCTCTAACCTTTATTTGTTCCCACTAATTAAAGATAAATTTTCATATTTAGTATTTAAATTATTAGTTTATTTTATTTTAATACTTAAACTTTTATTTGTTTTAAAATCATATCTAATAATTATTTTTTTGTTTCATTTTGGTATCCTGTTGTTAAAAACTTAGCGGGATTATTATAACGTGACACATTTTAATGAATAAATTGCATCAATCATCATTCAATTATCTACTCACTCTTATTTTGGTCACTGAAGTTTAGTTTTTTTAATTTAATTACTTAACATTCAAATTACTCTTAATTTAATCACTCTAACTTCAAAATTTAATTTTTTTTATTTTAATTATATGCTAATATAATAATAATAAAAATGTCATGTGACAAAATTATTAATAAAATAAATTAGAGTGATTAAAACATGAACAAATTGAAAGTTGAGTAGTTAAATTGAAATTTTTTAAACTTTAGTGACCAAAATAGGAGAGAGAAGATTGTTAAGTGATGAATAATTTACCCATAAAAATATCACGTGTAGTAGTTCCATTAAGTTTTCAACAATGAGGTACTAAAATGAAACAAAAAGTAACTGTTAAGTGTGATTTTGAAATAAATAAAAATTTAGGTACTAAAACAAAAAAATTGATAATTTAAGTACAAAATGTGTAGTTTACGCTATAATTAAATATGATTGGGTTAAATTTCTTGCTATCTAATTTATATTTTAAGCGAGACAAATAGAATTTTCACAAGTGTAATTATGGAATTTTGATTATTTTTAATATATGTTCCATCAAATAATAAATATATCTTTATCAAAAATTGATTATTTATATAAACTAATAAGAAAATTGCTAGATGTAATGATAATCTTTAATTTCCTCAATCTTTGAAGTACTTATGAGTTATGTCAAATGATTTTACCTTAGGAATCAAGTGGTAGGGGTGCCAACAGGAAGGGCGATGACGATTTTACATTATCTATTCCGCCCCTAATACTTGCGGGTACGGTTTTGAGAAATCTTCATTATATGTTTTGGGGATTTTTTTGTTTCCATACCCATCACTTACGGATCCCTACGCGTTTCGGTTAATCTCTATCCCAAAAAAATAAATATTTTTTAAATTAATGCAACACCTAAAACTTGTAATATATATCATATTGTCTCAAATTGATCTTTATCTATAATATGAAAGTTTCAAACGTTAATATTCATCTAACACCCAATGTACATATACAATCTTAACCATTTTCACTATCAATAAATCAATGTACATTAAATGAGAAAAGATCTAAACTTCAATTTTAGTTCATTTGAGATGTAATAATGGCAACACATAATCTCATAGATATTTTTCGAGGATCCCACGATTATTTTTGTAAAATATCAGAGATCCCCACGGTTATTCACACAGGTACAATACGATTATCTCCACGGTTCGAATGTAGTAATCTCCGTCCCCCATTCTCGTGGGTGAAAATTTCGGTTATTTCTCATTCCCGTCGATTTGAATCCCTACGATTTTCAGTTTCCCCCCACTCCATTGCCACCCCTAGCAAGTGGTGACCTAAACCTTCTTTTTAGGTTTTATAAACTAGGGTCAAATGATGATTATACTCCTTTTACTATGATCCAAATTTAGAATTTAGTCCTTATATTTTAATTTAACATAATTCGATTCTTTATTTTGATAGTGTCATTAGTTAATCCAAATAGTACACACCATTAAGTACTCTATTTAAAATAATGATATAGATTTTTTAAAAAAGATTCATTTTAATTTATCATGTTTGGTGAAGAAATAAATTGAGAGAAAAATAATGGGAATATGTGGTGAAACATAAATTTAGGCTTCTAAGTTTGTTCGATATTGTGGAGGATTTAGGTTTTTGATGAGTGTTTGTTTTGTATTTTATTGTCGACGCAGTACAATTTATCTTCTCTATATGTGATCTTTTTCGAAATAATTTTTTATGTAATATATATATATATATATATATATATATATATATTAAATTTTTTATTTTTATTTTTCAGATATTACTCATTATCATTGATAATAATATTGAAATTAAAAAAAAATATTTCCTCTGTCCTATTAAATCAGTCCACTGTTGATTTTTTTGTCAATTTTTTAACTTTGACTCATTATTATTTAAAATTTATTATTGATAAAAATATATTTTAAAAACCTTTAATTAAATAGTTTTTTAATATATATTTTATAAAATTTAATTATTTAAACTATTTAAAATAATCATGATCAAAGTTTAAAAGTTTGATCTTTTGAAAGTTAATAATGGACATATTTAATGGGGGAGGAAGGCGTACTTTTAAAAGAGATATTATGAAGAGAAAAAAAATCAACATCTGAATTTTAACTTAAATAGTTAGAAGTGTTAATTATTTAGACTAACTAATATTATCATTAAAGTATAATATCAAATTAAAACATTAATATTAAAGGGTAAACTACTCAGTTGACCACTTAACTATTTAGCCTTTTTATTTTTGTCACCAATCTTTCAATTTTATCAATCACACCACTTATCTATTTAATTTAATCAGTGACCACTAGCCGTTAATATTTGACGAAAATACTAATTACATTTAATCTTTAATATTTATATATTCTCTCAATTTGGTCATAAGTTAAATTAAATTTAATAAATTAACCATTCATTCAATATCTGACACGTGTCAGCACTGATTATGACATGTGTCAATACATGATTGTAGGATTTGTTATTAATTTAATTTTATTTAATTAAATAATTTTTCTATCCAATTAGGTGACACATGTCACAAACCGATTGGATAGAAAATAAAGGGGATGAATTGCTCTTGGGTGGAATTGAAATTAGGACCAATTGGATACATAAACAACACCACAGCCACTGCACCAAACATCCCAATGGCTTATAGTTTACAAAAAAATTGTATTTATCATTTTAAAGCTTGATAATGATAAAAGAAAATAGAAGTAAAATAAATTAGAATTAATAAATTAATTACTGTTGATTATAAAAAATATTTTTAAATACTTTACATCAAAATTCTTAAAAAAGTAATTTTTTCTTTTTTTAATTAAAAAAATCACTTCTTTAATTTATTTTATTGCTGATTTAAAATTTTTAAATACTCTACATCAATTTAAAAGCTGTTAAATTTAAAAAATTTAAATAAGCAGTAAAATATTTTTTTTATCCCCTGTATTTATTAATAGACTTTTAATTAAAAATCTATTAATAAATAAATGGGATAAAAATGTGATTTAAAAAATTTCATCTCTTTATTTTTTATCCAATTGGTTGGTGACACATGTCACCTCTTGATTGGATAGAAAAATTATCTAATTAAATAAATTTAAATTAATAAAAAAATCCTCCAATCATGTATTAACACGTATCATGCTCCTATGTTGACTCATGTTAGATCCTGATTGAATGATTAATTTATTAAATTTAATTTAATTTATGACCAAATTGAGAAAATATATAAATATCAAAGACTAAATGTAAAAATATAAAATTCTTTTAACTTTCATGTCAACATTTCCGTAAAATATTAACGACTAGTGGTCTGATTGAGCAAATTAAATAGTTAAGTGATGTGATTAACAAAATCGAAAGATCAGTGACAAAAGTAAAAGGGCTAAATAGTTAAGTGGTAGACTGAGTATTTTATCCAAAATTAAATCCCATATATGAGAAGAAAAAACAACAATTCAGATCTAAAATCAATATACGTTAACCAATATTAACTAAATTGCAAAATAAATAAAAGAAATTCAATATATTTTTATAACCACATGCGCTGCCTGTTGTAGGGTCAAGGTCAAGGGCATAAAATCACTCACAATCTAGCCAAAATCTTGAGAAATCAAGCCTTGAAAGAAAAATCTAATTATAAGTTCATGATGCAAATATTTTAATTTTTGGTAAATAATAATAACGATAATATTATAGAAATGCAACCCCTCGTGTCGGGTACAATAAAGCCAAAATTACATTATTTTGATTTTTATGAAAAAAGAATTTCAGATTAACTAATAATGTTTGATGTGTTTTTATTGGGATTTGATTTAGAATTAATTTTACTCAAATCCCCAGCGATAATCACGGCATGTTCAGAGCAAAATTGTTGTCTATTGAAATTTTAGGATCATATCAAAAGGTAAGTTCATACACATGATTATAAGAATATTATGTTTTATTATTATTTTTTGTAATATACATATTCAAGTATAGGGGTCGGTTATTTTTTATTGAAAATTTGGGTTTATATCAGCAGATCTTATTTGACTTAAAAATGCTGAGTAAATCCAACATGCTTATACTGCTGATACCAGGCAATGGGGGGTCTTGAGAGTTAGGGCAGAGTGAAAGCTGCAACAAATACACAAAAGCTGCATTAGAATATTCAAACCAACACCATAAAAGGAGTAAATGTACTGCAAAATGTGAATTGTACCTCCACACTGGTAACCAATAGGGCGATCAACAATGTTGCAACGTTTCGGAATGGTCACCGCAATTTCCGGCCTCACTCCCACATTGTATATGCTGTTTGAGAATAAAGAACAGCGCATAGGCAGGCTGGATTTTCTCCATTTCGGTGCAGCAACACTCGGAAACCGGGACTCTCCGATGCCGTGCTGCGTATGTACATGGTTCCAACTTCTCAGCCTCCTTCTCGATGTCGTGTTTCCCACAGGGACCATAATAATAAGCAGTTCCCTCCACTCCATTGAGCCCTGCAATGGTCATACTCACAAGAAACGTGAGAACGCACATGTACTTCACTGGGGTTTCCATTCTCACAAAGCAATTCAGGGACACTTTTGATCTACAAATGGAACTTGAGCGAAGACGTACTTGTCAACAACTTGAGCTCAAACGAAGATGGAACTCAGCTATTTATACCAAAATCAAGTAGCCAAATGAATATGAATTCCACCGGTTACAATGGACTAATTGAAAGAAGGGACAAATTGAAACAGACCACCCAGCATTACCATATAAATGCATAGTCTATCAATCGCCTACATTGCTTACTCATCGTTTTTGGCCTTTTTTTAAATAAACAGTTGTGTTTTTCAATTTGTTTCTGTGGGATCCATCTTTGGGGTCATTTTCATACCTCCATCAGCTGTTTAAGACCTCTCTTTTTTCCTTTTTTTCTCATTTTTTTTATAGAATCTAACTATAAATTGTGTAAATCATGCTTATCCATTGTGTTGAAGTTTGTATCATATAATAATATTTAAGTTTGTATCATATAATAATATTTAAGTTTGTATCATATAATAATAGAAAAAAAATATAATAGATAGGAGCTTGAAACATGTCAGAAGGTATTGGAGTTGCAAAATCTTTTTTACCATTGTGCTGACATCTTTTTTCTCAAATTAAAACTTTAATTAGATTTTGAGTATAATTTTACAATGTTGCTTTGCATTAATTATGGTGTTGCAGCATTAGAGAAACTCTATATATCTTATATGGTGTTGTAATGGTTGAAGCATAAGCTCAAAGGCAAGTGTTGGGTATTTGTTTTACATAGGAATCAGAATCACATTCAAGATATTAGGCCTGACTCTTCTGTTTTCACAAATCAACATATTCCTAAGCAGGACACTGTGAAACTTGCTGAAAGTTCATATATTCTCTGGAAACATCAGATTGAATTGATTATTGATGGTTATGGACTATAGCACATATCTGATGATTTTGTTGCTAGTTGTTACACCACTCGTGTTATATGGGGAACAAAACAATAATTGTTTGTTTGGAGCTCGTTCCAGTGCAAAGATCTCGGCCCTACACTATAGTCTGCGCTCTCAAAAGAAATAAGGTTTGACTATTACAGAATTTCTGGCTAAGATAAAGTTGTGTGACACTCACAGAATGTTTCTTGATTGAGAATCTCTTAGACACGTGATAATAAAACAAGGGGAAACGTAATGTGAAGAAACTGATGAAAGAAGTGTTCAAGGTGGTCGACATGGTGGAAGTTCAGTTTCAGTACCTGCAAGTGCATCTACACCATATCAGCACTGATTATGCCAAAGTTCAGTTTCAGTACCTGCAAGTGCATATACACCATATCAGCACTGATTATGCCAAGCTTCATTTAAGTGCATCTTCACTACTTATGGGCTTTGGTGACAGTATTAGAATTTTTCATGTTGGTCTGGGCTCCCTCAATACTCATTTTAAGCCTTTGTTCTTGTAAAATTTACTACATATTCCTGATATAAAGAAGAATCTTCTTTTTGTGTCTCAACTTGCTCGGATTCATCTTTACGGATGTTTTGTTAAGGATTCACAGACCTAGAGAGTCCTGCTGGAAGGGAAGCTCACTCATGAGGGACTCTACTAGCTAGTACCTCCAATTATTTCTTCTAAAAGTCTGTAATATTTCTAAGTGTTATAAAGACAATCCTTAAGTTTTGTAATATACCCATTGATGAGAATAAAGTGTCACAAACTACCATTCTCAGTGTCCACTACAGCAGTCTTCTTGATAAATAGATTACCTACAAATGTTAGAATTGACAGATCCAGTTCAACTACTTGATTATTAGTCTGTTCACAGCATAGATTTGGGGGGAAAATGGTCATCAAGAAACAAGAAGCACACATTTTGCAAAGATAAGGGACCTTTTTTTTAGTATTATTCAAAGAAACACCACCACTTTTTACTTGTTATTGAAAGATACATCAACAGATTTTATTTAAGTTAAGAATGCTGGATGTCATAGCGAATCCAGCATGCTGATACTACGTAATGGGGAGTCTTCAGAGTTAAGGCAGAGTGAAATCTGCAAGAAACAAACAATAGCTTCATTAGAGTATTGAAACAAACACTATACAAGGAGTAAAGGTGATGCGAAATGCCAATTTTACCTCCACAATGGTAACCAACAGGGCGATCAGCTATGTTGCAGCGTTTTGGAATGGTCACGGCGATTTCCGGCCTCACGCCCGCATTGTATGCTGTTTGAGAATACAGAACAGCGCACAGGCAGGCTGGATTCTTCACCTTTTTCTCCATCAAGGTGCAGCAACGCTCGGAAACCGGAACTCTCCAATGCTGTGCTGCGTATGTACACGGTTCCAACTTCTCAGCCTCCTTCTGGATGTCATGTTTCCCACATGGACCATAATAATTAGCAGTTCCCTCGACTCCATTGAGCCCTGCAATGGTCATACTCATTAGAAACACGAGAACGCACATGTACTTCACTGGAGTTTCCATTTCCGCAAACCAATTCAGGGATACTTTTGATGTACAACTTGAACTCTATCGAAGATATTCTTGTGAAAAACTTGAACTCAAACGAAGATGGTCCTCAGCTATTTATAGTGAGAAAAAAGAAGTAGAAAGTAGGCAGATGAATATGAATTCCGCCGTTTACAAATACAAGGGACATGGAACTAGAGAAAGAGTGTTTGGTGAGGTGCAGTATCTGTATTGAAGAACATGTATTTTGAGTCAGCTGAACATATTAAGTCTAGGTTACAGACATCTTGTTTCACTGTATTATCTTTATTTAACCAACCTAATTAAACTGATCCACAGTTTAAGCGCCCATACCAACTAGAATCAAGCAGCGCAAGCTCAGGTCAATAACAATCGAAAGAGAGAATTTGAAACTGAGCACCTAGCATTACCTTTTAAATGCATGGTCTATCAATTGCCAGTTCGTCGTTCTTTTACTCTTTTTTTAATATAAAAATTTGTGTTTTTCAATTTGTTTCTGTGGGATCTATCTTTCGGACTTGGGAGTATTTTTACACCTCCAGCTGTAAACTTTCCCTTTTTCCCTTTTTCCATCAGCTGTAAAAGACCTCTCTTCTTTTCTTGTTCTAATTTAATTTCTAATACTTCATTTAGTAATTCAATTTGGGTCACCTTACATATTTTTAATAATTAAAAATAATTTTTAAAAATAAAAAATTAATTAAAATAAAAAATGATTTCTTTTCCTCTCTTACTTTTTCTCTTTCCCTTTCTCTTCCCCTCTCTTCACCGAAGGCAGCAAATCTGAAGCTTAAGCTGGAAATCGAAGCGACATTGTATCCTCGTCGATCACTTTTACAATGAGGGTGGCATTATTGCAACCTCTAAGGTGCAACAGAGGAAGACCTGGTCGAGGTTTTCAGTATCCAAATGGCGAATGAGCTTGAGGTGATGGAGGCAGAGGTTTCCGTCGGAAGAGAGGTTAGTGGCTGCTTTAATTGCAGACCAACACGGATCTCATTTGCAGCGGTGGAGGAGGAAAGATGGGATTCATTGAAACAGAGAGACTAGACCTTGCTAAACTGAAACGAACTCTAGAACAAGGAAATGTTAAGTCGGTGGTGGTGGAAGTGAAGATGAAGCCAATACCCTAAATCATTTTCCCTCTCTTCCCCGTCACTCTCTTCCCCAAGTCAGTATCAGCTTCCTTATCAGAACACCAAGTGAGTACCAGCAAGCTTGTGCAGTATTGGATGGAGTACATCATGAGCATACAACGTGTATTGTCTTAGTTATATTCAGTGAGCTCGATTAGTTAGTTAGTTAAAGTATAACAGATGTTCTGTTATATTTGTTATAGCCGTTATACATTCATCATTTCTTGTATATAAAGATATGCAGTGTTCTTGTACACTATCATCAACAACAATGATCAGTTTTCCATGCTAATTGAGTTTTCTATCATGGTATCAATCGCTCAGCTGGTTCTAGGATAAGCTGTATTTCTGCTGCTGCTTGATAACTTGGGCAAGATTTTCGAATCTTTCCTGCAAGAACTGGTGTCATGGCATTCGGTGGTTTTGGAAACATTATTAGCAGTTCAGAATCATTGAGACCCAGCAAGATGTTCACAAACAAACGCATCAACATCATGCTTGATGAGATGAATTTTCTTCGATGGAAACAACAGGTTCTCTTAACGGTTCGAAGTCATCGGCTTGAGAGGCTGCTCATCGGAGATCTTAGATCTCCACCTGAAAGAATACTTGATGCAGATGGCATTCTTGTCATCAATGAGGAGTATGATGTGTTCGTTGCACAAGATAGTTCCATTCTTGGCTTTTGTCCATCATCAGTGATCATCTTCTACCACAATTTGTTGGTGTTGAAACTCCCTTTGAGGTATGAGCTACAATTATTAAGTTCTTCTCTAATCGATCGACTACCAACATAATGAGTTTGCATTGCAAGTTGAGGTTCATCAAGAAAGGAGATGAAATCATGCGATCATACCTCACTTCGATCAAAGAGGTGTGATGCATTAGCTGCGTGTGGCAGTGCCATTTCTGACATTGATCAGATTGCCAAAATTCTGAATGGACTCTCATTCGAATATCAACCCTTTGTTGCTGTTATTACAGCGAGCAAAGATGCATTCATAATAGATGCAGTTCATTCTACGTTAATTGATGCAGAAGCCTAGTTTAAAAGCTTTCAAGTTCAATCTCAACCACTTCTCAGTGCCAATGTTGCACACATTCAGAATAACAATCAAAGAAGGTATTCTGGTCAGTCTACTGATCAGCAGAACACTGGAAATGAACGAATGAAACAACAATACTCGCATGGTCGAATAGGTAATCTAGGTCGAGGAAGAGCAAGGGTGCAATGTCAACTATGTGGAAAGATGGGGCATATTGTGGATCAATGCTGGCATCAGTTTGATCAGTCATTTTCTGGAGTTCTCGCTGATAAGAATGAGTCCTTCAACACACAGGTAACTGGTTTTGATAATGAAGGTTATACATGTACAAATAATGGATGTGCTCCAGTACTGACCCTGTCTTCAACATCTTCCAGCTCAGACAAATGGGTTATAGACTTAGGAGCTACTCACCATGTAACTCTAGACAGTTCCAAACTTAACAATGCATCTGACTATTTAGGACCAGGTAAGTTAGCTGTGGGAAATAGACATAATCTTGATATATACAAGACTGGATCATCTCTCATTCAAACTAGGACTCGAGCTCTTTACATTAATAATCTACTGCATGTGCCTGATGTCACTAAAAATCTTTTGTGTGTCTCCAAGTTTGCTAGAGGGAACGGGGTATTTTTTGAGTTTCATGCAAATCATTGCTTGGTGAAAGATGAGAAGACTAGAGTAGTGCTGTTGCAAGGATGGGAGACTGCTAGTTTGTATAATTTTGCTGCTGATAATGTGTCTTGTGATAAGAAATCAAATTCAATGATAGTAAATGTAGCTACTAGCATAAACCTGTATGATTTGTGGCATTAAAGGCTTGGGCATCCTGCTCATGCATCATTGATGCAAATTTGTAAACAAATTGGGGTCAATGTTGCTCCATCGATTAATAAAGAGAGTACCAGTGTTTGTGTAGCTTGTAGAATGGGGAAGAGCCATAAAATACCGTTTCATAAATCTAAAACAGTGTATGATAAACCGTTTCAGTTAGTGTTCTCTGACTTATGGGGACCCTCACACATAACTTCAAATAGTTTCAGTTATTATGTGTCCTTTGTAGATGCATGTACAAGGCACTGTTGGGTATATCTACTTAAGAACAAGAATCAAACAATGCATGCCTTTCAGTTGTTTCATGCATTTGTTAAGACTCAGTTTGAGACAGAAATAAAGGAACTGCAAACTGACTGGGGTGGAGAGTATATGCCGTTAACAACAATATTGGAAAATATGAGAGTTCACCATCGATTGACCTATCCTCACACCTAAAAAAAAAATGGTGTTGTTGAGTGAAAACACCAGCATGTTATTGAATCATCACTGGTCTTGATGGCACAAACTTCATTACCTTTAAGGTTCTGATCATATGCTGTAAGTACAACTGTGTACCTTATTAATCGAATGCCCACCAAGGTTCTGCATGGGAAGTCACCATTTGAAGCTCTTTACAACAAGCTACCAGATCACAGTGGTGTGCGTGTTTTTGGTTGCAGGTGTTTCCCACATCTTCGAATGTTTCAGTAACATAAGCTGGACTTTATGTCTCAACCATGCACGTTTCTTGGTTATAGTGCCCTTTATAAGGGCTATCAATGTCTGGCACCGAGTGAGAAGATTTACGTCTCAAGGCATGTAATCTTTGATGAATCTTGTTTTCCTTTTGTAGGAAGCAGTGACAAAACAACTAAGACAAGTTAGATACACCCTCGGAAGCTGACAGTTATCAACAGTGCTCATAGAGTGTGTGCTCGAGCTGATGATTACATGAACATAGGTGAAAGTCAGGTTGATGTTTCATCACCTGGAGGCAATTCAGTTCAAGATTCTGACTCAAGATTAATGGACCAGCCTGCTCAAGATGGAGATCTTGACTCTGCTCGTCGTGATATAATTGACATTGGTATTCAAGGAGCTGGAATTGAGCAACATGTTCATGATGAAAATGATACAGTAGATGAGCAACAAGGGTTGACGCAACCAGACTTAGAAGATGTTATGAGCTCCAAGGCTGCTCCTAGTCATCACATGATAACTAGAAGCAAGAGAGGTATTTTCAAACCTAAAGTGTATATGAGCATGCAGGATGGTGAGGAAGAAGAGCCACATTCGATTAAAGTTGTGCTTCAATCTGATAAGTGGAAGGCAGCTGTTCAAGAACAGTATGATGCCTTGGTCAGGAATAACACATGGACACTGGTGAGATTACCTGAAGGCAGAATTCCAGTTGGATGCAAATGGCTGTTTAGGATAAAACGAAATGCTGATGGCACGTTGCAAAGATACAAAGCCAGATTGGTGGCTAGGGTTTTTTCCCAAATTCCTGGACAAGATTTCCAAAATACCTTCAGTTTAGTAGCAAAGTCATCCACAATCAATGTGATACTTGCTGTAGATGTTCAAAAGAAGTGGTGCTTGAGGCAGGTAGACATAAATAATGACTTTTTAAATGGGGATTTGTAGGAAGAAGTTTTTATGCAACAGCCCCAAGGGTTTGAAGAAGTTGACTCATATGGAACCCCCTTAGTGTGTAAGCTAAATCGTGCCTTGTATGGATTGAGGCAAGCTCCTCGAAATTGGTATGTTAAGCTGAAGGAACACTTGGTACATATTGGTTTTGAAGTATCACTTGCAGATTGCTCATTATTTGTAATGAGAAGAGAAAATTTTGTTGTTTATGTCTTGGTATATGTGGATGACATAATTGTTACTGGAAATTTTGTGTGCAAAGTTGAAGAAGTGGTCAGATTGCTTGGTGAGAAATTTTCTCTCAAGGACTTGGGACAACTCAA